TGTAAAATACGGAATATACGTAATACTCTAAAACACGGAATTTACAGAATATTCTGTATTTGATTTGAACTGGACTGACGAAAAAGCAGAGGCAATATTAAAAATTCAATTTTCGTACTGTCGTAAGCCACACTATAGACCTTATGACGGTTTTGAAAGCAATCTTGACGGGTGAAGGGTCCAGTATCACTGGAATCTAATGTCGGATAACTTTCATAAAACGGCTGTTCTAAAAAAAAAAGAATTGTAAACTTAAGCTTGACAGGATTGTACTACCAATTAATGGGGGCCGCACCTGTGCCTAAATTTGTCCGGTCGCTTGCTTTAGATTTTCCAGAGTCTTCAAAGTCTTCAAAGGAATGATCTCTTCTTCAAATTCTGTGGAGATTGCTCGGCTGGTCTTTCTGGCGAGGAAGGATCCAAGGACAACAAGTCCGTTTTCCAGTCTCCTTGATCCATTACGTTAATCGACTTGCACTTTGTTTTGACTGCGAGCTTTTTTAAGAAAGGTGAATATAAGGAAGGAAAGTTCCATCGACAAAGTGCCCAACAAGTTTCAACAGGGTCTGGACCAAAATACGGTGCGGGAATCGGGAAAACGATAAGTATATTGACGGGATCCGGGATTTGACTGTTCCCCGGGAAGCGGGACTCGCCAAAAATTGGGCACGGGATGCGGGATTAATGTTTGCGTCTCTGTAGGGAATGCCGGAAACCTTTAAAAAACGCGTAAATTCAAAATATCAATCGAAAGGATCAACCTACATCTTACATTTATTAGCTTTTGTAGAAATTAGACTTTTTAATGTATTTTCTGAGAAAGAAAAGCGGTATTCGGGAAACTGATGAAAAACGTGGGGGATGCGGGATTCTCGCGAAAAAGGGGCGGGAATGCGGGATCAGTACCCCCCTTCCAGACCCTGTTTCAAAGTAAGTCCCTCGCGTTAACTGAGCATTCACCGTCAGTATTTGTTACTGCTACAGTTTCAAATGTTGTTCGTTTTTAAATAAATATCAAAGTTCTTTTTTTAACATGTGGTTGTTTCTCAAAAAAGAAATAAGTGCCCTGTCCCGAATAAGCGTCCACCCTAGAGGCCCCAAAAGTAAATAAGCGCCTAGGCGCTAAATCGAATCATTACGGTAAGTCAATTCTTTTACTTGTCACGCGCTTAAAACATGGTTAGAGTTAATGAGGGTAAAATTATATAGAAATGATCTGAAGAGAAACAAAAATTAGTATTTCTTCGAGTTAGCACGAGGTTCGAGTCAGTAGCGAGGGTTCGAGTTATTGGAGTCGACTGTATACATGTATACCCTTTTTAAACGATTTTTCTCTTATTCTGCGTTTTAGAGTATTCCATGTATTCCATCATTCCGTTCCGTCATTCCGTCAGTCCGCCATTCCACCGAATAGCGTCACCCCCGATATTTTCATGTCCAAGAAAAAACTAAACGCGAGGCTAATCATTGTGCCAAGGATTGAATCTGTTAGCTACATTTTATAGCGCCAGATAATAGTCCTTTGAGAAAAAAAAAAGCGTAATTCTTGGGCGTAATGAGCTCAGTTTTCGGGACCAAGGTGTTCCTCGTTCTCGGGAGCAACAGTACTCTAATATCTCTCTCTTTTTTTCCTTGAAGGAAGACATTGGACATTGACACGAATGATTCTCGCCCGAAAAAAAAAACATGGGATCAGATTTCTTTCAAAAGACCGCTGGCCAGAAGCGTCGACTCGTGACCCCACAACGATCAGATCACGCGGAGGCCAAAACAGTGCGGCGGTTCGGGAATTTTTTCCTTTTTAAGTCACCATCGCTTGTGAAAAAATAACATTACTGTAACATTGTTTCACTAAGTGCTTTCTGGCCGGGAAAAAGTTGTGCATTCGTTTAGATTTCGCCGCAGTTTAGACAAATGACGTCATTGGTCGTTGTCACGCGACAACATTTCCAAGATTCAACTCTCCTTAGCAGATGGTAATTTCGAGTTCTTTTCTTTTTCTGCCTATTTTTCATCTTCCTTTCTCTTTTAATTCTACGTCCTTCTACTTAGGATGGTCTCTGAGCGCCTAGCAGGGATTAAAGTGGCGTTTACCACGCTATCCACGGCCGTATTGGCAACAGAGAAGTGTTTCGCCGAAGTAGCAAGATAACGGTAAACACTGCAACTTTGAACGCTTTGTACAACGTCAATATACTTTGGCCGAAAAATGATTTTCCAGAATCGTAATGTATATCCCTCCAATGTCTGATTCATCACTGTGATTGCTTTCAACAGCGTTGGAGTTTTGAGAAATAATTATTTTAAAATCAGCTCCAACGCTCCATCTAATTTAATATGTAATATTTGAAAATTTATTTTTTATTCCCTTCGGCAGTTTTTCGATGTTTATTGAATGATATTGCATTAAAAGGCCTTTTTCTTCATCACTGTGTGGTTTTCTCGCTATTTTGCGTTGCGATAGTGATTTCTGAACCGTTTTATGTGAGGGCTTATTTTA